TATCACTGTCCACTTTATTATCATATATCAAAGCTGAGCTCCTGTTAAGCAGTGGTTTGATTTCTTCCACCAGGATACCTTACTTAGTCTTGTAGTCTTCCACAGTCTCGACCATGGCTGTGCACTCATTTTCAAGCCTCACTTTATCGTGTCTGCAAAGTTCCAGCTGTTTTTCCAGGTTGGAAATGAACGTCTTAATAATGGACTCCGCATCATCAGAGGAGGGGGCGCTTTGCTGATTCAGGAGCTTCCACTTGGTTTCCAGCACTTTGTTCTGCTGCTCCAGCTGTCTGACCTGACACACGAGAAGGGATACGAACAAATTCCAACACAGTCCCACTTTAGGTTTTAAAAGAAGCTTCAAATGCCACCGAGTTAACTTGGAATAATAATAATAATAATAAATTTTATTTATGAGCGCCTTTCAAGTCACCCAAGGACACTTTAATGGTTTATAATAAAAAGATTTTAAATGTGACAGTAAAATTTCCTCTTACCTTTTCGATGTAGGATGCAAACTTGTTGTTAAGAGTCATCAGCTGATTTTTCTCCATGGTGCGTATAGTTTGGACGGTGGGATCAACTTCTAAGTTTAGTGGGGCAAGCAGGCTCCTGTCGATTGTTACTGGTTTGATATCGGTAGCGGTGCTGATTTGGCGGATGGAGTTGGATCCCATGGAACTAGTGCTGAATCGCCCTGAAGGTGAGTTCAGCAGGCTCTTCCGCTTGCTCCTCAGACTCATGGTGCTGTTGAGTTTGCACTGCTGGAAAGGATGGGGAGCTCAGCTGGTAGAAGTGGTGGTATAGCTCTGTTGTGCACGTTTTATCTTTTTGGCTGCTTTATAAGGCAGAACTGGGCGTGTTGTGATAGTGAAGTGATTGAATGTGGGTAAACCAGTCTGACACATACCTCGTGCTCTCCCACCTACCCCTCACTTTAAAGATGCAACAGGAAACTATTCCTGCTCCACAGCTTCAGGTGAGTTCCGTAACAAACTAAAAGTCTGCACTCACACAGTCTGAAAACTCAGTAAATCAAGAAGTCATCAAGAAAAATAAAATATTCCCTGTTATGAATAAAGAAAGATTTTATTTAACATAATGAACTGCAGAGCCACAGGCTTTTAATGTAAATTTAAGTCAGTACATGCAGAAAATACTTTCAGTAGGCAATGTTACATTTGGAAATGTTCCCAAATATTATAATATGCATTACACACTGGAAACTACATGCACATCAGTGGACCTCGTAAAACCTCCCTTAACTGAAAGAGAAACTCTGAAGTCCTGAAACTCTAGTAGTACGTTTAATAAAAAAAAGTCACAAATTTTCTGGAAAACTGTTATTTTTCTTCTTGAGATACTAAACTAGTAAATATGATTGTAAGAGAGTAAAGTCAAAAAAGTACAAGGAAAACCTTACCAACTAACTACGCCCTCATAACCTCACACACTCCACTCATTAACAGGAAGCTCCTTACTTGGTTATTATGGACTAAAGTATTTCTTTATTTCTACCTTTGATTGATCTCCACTGCTGCTGCCTCTGTGCTGTGATAAATTTGACACAGTTATGACAGTTATGATTACAAATTATCAACCATGGGGCAGGGTCGGGGGTTCGAATTCACCGAACGGCTACCCTGAGGTACCCCTGAGCAAGGTACCATCCCTACACACTGCTCCCCGGTGTGGCTGCCCGCTGCTTCACTGAGTGAATGGGTCAAATGCAGAGGGAGTAATTTCCCCACTGGGATCAATAAAGTACACATTATTATCCTATGGAACAAAAGAGGAAAATAGTTTGATTTAAAAATTTACCACACTTAAATTAAATGTGTTTTCACTAATGTTAATAGAAACCAGTTGTACTAAAAAAAGGAAACCTGTCTGTTCTCTTGTTTGTTTTTCAAATCCTCCCTCTCTCTCTGCGCGTCCAATTATCCAATCATCGCTTTCCTTTAAGCAAACAACTACTGTACAAAGGAAAAATGTTCTCACATAACCAGATTTATAAGGGTTTGTTTGTATGACACTGAATCTGTGCCACCCGCTCAACATTTCATCAGAGCTGAATAAAGTCAAGAGAACAGAGTGAGCGTCATGCGTATACTTAAAATGCTTTTTGCATGACACTGAATATTTCCTTCGGGTCTTCCTTTGACAGAAATGAAGATTGCTTCATTCAATGCACAGAGGTTTGGACTGACTAAGGTCTCAGATCCAGCGGTCCTGACAAGCCTGGTTAAGGTAAAACATTTCTCCTTGGCGTTAGCGAGGCAAACCAAAGAATGAAATGGCTGATATGAACTCTTTAAATGAGGACGCCGTGTACAGAGTCAACAAATCACAAAACAAAATTTCAAGAAGTGTCTCAATCTTGAGTAAAGTAAAACACATTCTGGACCACAAATCACTCCACATTCTCTATTGTTCCCTGATTGCACCGTATTTGAATTACTGTGCAGAGGTTTGGGGCAATACTTACAAATGTTCGCTATCATCAATCTTTATATTACAAAAAAGGGCCATAAGGATAATCCATAAAACTGGTTACAGAGATCATACAATCCACTATTCTTAAAATCAAAAATTCTAAAATTCACAGATCTGGTTCATTTTCTCACAGCACAAATTATATATAAAGCAATAAATAACCTGCTTCCTGACAATATTCTAAAAATGTTTTCTAAAAGGGAACGGGGATACAATTTGAGGGGGGAATTAAATTTAAAACATCCTCGTATCCGTACAACATTAAAAAGTTTTTGCATCTCTGTGTGTGGAGTGAAGCTGTGGAACAGACTAAGTAAAGATATGAAGCAATGTCCAAGCATGGCGCAGTTTAAAAAGCGGTTTAAGGATTCGGTTTTTACAGGGTACAGGGAAAAGGAGAGATTTGATAGGGTGTTCTTGTTAATATTTTCATGTGTGTGCGGGTGCACGGGTTTTGGTATGGATAATTGTAGTGTGTTTAGTATATAGGCGTAGTATATAGTATTATATAGAACATATATGTATATATATATATAATATATAATAAATAATATATTAATAATGTATTAATATATAATAAAATATATATATATTATATATAATAGTAATTATGATACTGTCCAATATTATCATTGTGAGGGGCGATGTTGTATTCCTTGAGGTGTTATGGGGTTATTGAAAAGTGTGTATATGTGTATGTGATATCGTATGTATGGATAGATAGAAAGCAATATGTGTATATATTATAATAAAAAAAAAATACATGTAAACATATAATGTAATTGCAAGGAGGTATTTCTGTAGTCTATTGATACTAGGTAGTGGAAAAGGGGTGGGATTAAATAAGCTTATGCTTCTTCCTGCTCCTTTTTGAACATGGACGTTATTTGGAGTTGTGGTTGCTCCTTTTGTTTGCTTTGTTCATTTGTCTCTTTTAATTCTATTTTTTTTATTTTTTTATTTTTTTTATACTTTTTCAACATGTTCAAAATAAAGATTCAATCAATCAATCAATCAATCAATCAATCAATCAACATGTGTAATGCATTTCTTCTTTGGAAATTTGTTGTCAATGTGACTCACTCTTGAGTGTTGGGAAACAGTCATTATCAAGTGTGAAAATGAAAACTGGGAAGTAGCCAGGTGCATTATCAGGGTTAGTAAAAAAGAAAATCGCTTCTCATTTCTTCTGCTTTCATTATCATTGATTCAAAACAACCCCAAAACAACAACAAACAAACAAAAACAAAACAATAACACTGTTTGCACTTCTTTTATTAACAAAGCTTATTTGTTGTAGATTGTGTCTTGATATGACATCATAGTTATTCTGGAGGTGGTGAATGTGACTGGAGATTCTGTTAGAGTGTTAGTGGAAGAGCTGAACGGGTGAATTTACTTAAAAAAAAAAAAGATTTTCTGACTAAAGTAAAACTGTCTCTTCCTATAAGTATGCTTACTTTTACTGTTGTCCACATCTCAGGGTCAGCACCACCCATCACTACGCTCAGCAGCTCAGTACCCGTCTGGGAAGGAGCAGATACAAGGAACAGTTCCTGTTTCTGTACAGGCAAGCTCAAATAATCCCACAAAAAGCTGAACAGCTCTATAGAATAATTTTTTTGTCCTGCTGGAAGGGACGATGTGGTCGACCTTATCAATTGCTATCAGTATAAGGATGACCAGGTCGATGATGTGGATGCATTTAAAAGAGAGCCCTATATTCTCTACTTTAAAACTCATAACACAGGTCAATCTTTGCCCCTACTGAAGCTTATGGTACCTGGTTCAGTCAGAACAAGGAGTTAGGTCTGTGTGTGTACATGTTAGTCAGTTGCTGGGACATCAGCAGTATGTACGAGTCATTTTTAACCGTGGATCTGTTTGTTGAATGAGTCTGATGCAGCGTGACATGCTAATTACAGCAGACTGCAGCAGGTTTATCAGGTTTAGTGTCTTGTGTGAGCAGGGAAATATGTTTAACTTACAGTATGTAACTACAGAGGATGTTATTGGAGTCAAGTCAACTGTTTCTGTTGCAGTGCTGAGGGATATAGTTCCGATCCCGATGCATTTTTTGAGTTGTGATACACATAGATAAAGATATATAGAGACAGAGATATCAGATCAGAGGAATCACATCTATTGCACAACCTGTAAATTATCACTCAGTGTCCTCATATTTTCTTTAGGGATATTTAAAGTTGTATTAGCCTGAAAAGCTGCGTTTTTGTTTTTTGTTTTCTTAATTTCCTTTAGAATGTAATGATCCTGGGAGACTTCAGGGCAGATGGCTGGTATCTCTCATCCAAGGAAAGGGAGGAGATCCACATTCGCAGTGACAAGAACTCTTACTGGCTGATTGGTGATAACGTGGACACCATGGCAAAAACAAGTGATCACCACGCTTATGACAGATTTGTTAGAAAGATTTGTGACAAGATATACAATTGTGGTCAGAAGTTTATTTGCCCTCGTTGAGGGCATCAATGTCAATGTAATGTTTGGCTTTTATTGATTTATTTGAAGTGTTTTTTTCCAGGATGGAATAATTATACAGCATACATCTTTAATGATTAAAAAAAAAGAAAGAAGAATTGGATGCATATGTTTGAATTTATTTCTTTAGTGGTCACAATCAACTACAACTGGTAGTTTCTCCCAGATTTAAGCTGCACAATCATTGCACCCTGGAAAATGAACAGTTCAAAGAAATTATTGAAAGCCCAGAATTATCATAACATTTATACCCATGATGACTGTATGCAAATGTCTAACCACAACTGCACAGTTATATGAATTCATGAATTGAATGAATGCACATCTTCCACAGGATAGTTGTGTATGGAGAAGATATGCTGGCAGCCATTGTGCCAAACTCAGCTAAACCATTTAACTTTCACAAAGAGTTTCAAATGACAGAAGAAATGGTGAACTATCTGATCTATCCCTCTTCTTGATATGCACTTGAATGGCTATTTTGCTTTTCTATTTTTCATTTTATACACAAATCCTCCCACAGGCCCTTAGGGTGAGCAATCACTACCCCGTTGAGGTGGAATTGCTATTCCCTTTTGGGTGAAAAAGAGCAACAACAGATGTGCAGTTGTTGACACGCAGCAAGGATTCAGGAGAGCTGTGACAGGTAAAGAGCAAAACACTAATATACTTTATCTTGTTCCTGATAGATGTGGAAAAAGCTGGGATACAACCCAGCTCAGAAAACTAGATGGAAAATTCACATAAAGGAAGAAAGCAGTGATTTCCAAATGCATTTTAACTTGTATTTCAAGAGTCAAGTCGAGTCAAGAAAGCCTTTATTTGTCACAT